GTACTTTCAGACTTGCAAGAATCTGTTACTGCAACCTTACAATAAAGGGAGTGTTAGTACTCATGGTTTGGATTTCTTGTCTGGAGTACCTCAAAGGGCTGATGCATTCACTGAGAAATTGGTGTGGGCTTAAAGGGGGGAATCTTTGCTCTGCTCTTAGGGCTGCTGGAGGACAGTTGTCTATTCAGTAATCTGTCTTTTCAAAGTCTTGTTTAAAGATAAAGCAGCCTAAATGCCCATTCATATTTAGCATTTGGACAGCAGTCTGACCCAACATTGGAAATGGGAAGGGAAAACCATACAGTGCTCAGCTGTAAATAGGAAATGACAGTCCAGCTGTATTCATTTGGAAACAGGAAACATGGGTTTCTTGAAGCCCAGGCTCAGACCCTTTGGGATTTCCCAACTTGGGTGAACTTTCAGCTACAATTTATCGGTGGCAGCTCCTTTTATTGACCTCATTCCTCTCTTCCCCCCAGGTCACTGCTACTATTTGCTGTACAAAAAGCTCATGGATCACCATCTCACCTGCTTTAGCGAGTGCCCTAAGACATGCAAGTGAGTAGCAGAGGAATGTTCATGTGATTGAGTGCTAGCAGGTTTACGTCAGCTAGTTTTCTGCTGTTCGCTATCTGTCCCATAAAATCTCATCCCCTTGTTCCTTCCATGCTTCAAACCCTCCAAGGGTGCATATAGGCATACAAATTGCTGCAGACATGAACCGTCCCTTGGGCCACCTATCCTGCTTGACTGCCTCAGGAACTTGTTCTGCTAGCTTCCAGCAGAAGCTGACTGACCAACACCAGTAACTTCCCCCATATCCCATGAGCAAGCCCTTCATCTTTAAAAGGAACAGCATCTTACAAGATGCTTAGAAAAATCCTCATTAAAGAAGGTGGACAGCCTTCTTGATATAGCTGGAGGACACGGAAAATGAGGAACTAAACAACACATTCAGAAATAAATGTTATCTATTGCTTTGGATGTGAAGTACAAAGATGACAACCTTGCAGGAGAAAAAAAATAAATCACACCCATACAGGTGTTTGACAAAAACGTATAGGCAACCAGTTCAGTTTTTCAACATCTTCACAGAATCACAGTGACCCAAAATTTTTGGGGAGGGCTTGACAACATTGCAAAATATTTGGGGTAAATATGAATTCAAACTTGCTGGATTGGTATGGAATTCACAGCAAACTCTGTGTTGTTGGCAGGGAAACGAGGTATAAGCTCTCCGCGGGATACGCTAAGTGGCCATCAACTAAATCCGAGGTAAAGCAAAGCTTTTCTTTTGCACGGGGTAGAAATGGGGAAGAAAGCAGTGGACGACATAGCAATTAAGGGTACCTCCAACAGCACGGCTTCCATCCCACTATTCTTGAAAGCCTTTGGAAGATGGCTGTGCTCCTCCTGACCTTGGAAGGCTGAGAACAGACAGGGAACACCACAAGCCCATTAGCTGCTGACAGGATAACCGTCATAATTCGTGCAGGGATGGCAAGTCCTGGAGTATCGAAAATCCCTTTGCCCCACTTCACACAGAAAAAGGAAGGGTAAATTGCTATCCCTCCCCCAGGCTTTCAGGGCACGCTGCATCAGAACATTTTGCAAATTAAATTAGTTGCTGGTATGAAGGCATCATTCTTCTTCTATACACACACACAGAGAAAGTCAAGCTGGGAAGTTTTTTTTTTTTTTTTTTAGCGGGGTTATGAAACTGAGAGAAATTGGTGGAAAGAAATAAGGTAAGGTTGCCTGGGAAATCTAGTGCAGACTCTGAATTCAGGTGGCAGAAGTTAGAGTGAGGTAAGAGTTCCAGCAAATCATCTCCCTCCACCCCATGGAGCTCCAACGTTGCAAATGGCAATATGGAAGTTCTGCCATTTGAGCTGTAGTGCAACAGAGCCAGAAAAAGGAATCTGTTCGTTGCCTAAGGAGGGAGATGTTTTGTAATCCAGTCACAGAAGCTCACTGGGTGACTTTGGGCCAACCTTCTTGTGGGGAAAAATGGGAGGAAGTATTGCATGCTCTTCCTTTGAGTATGATTTTCAAAAGTCATCTGTGACCTTTCCCACATCACAGTTACAGAGATTAGTCAGAATTCTTTCCTGAACATCTCATTCATACCAGTTCTCCCTTTCTAGTGTGCAGCTTTGCTCTTCTGTGCACCCTTTCACATTTTAATTTCAGTCCCTGCATTTCTCTTTCAGAACTGGATTCACAGAGCATTGCAAGCAGACAACAGATACACCACCACCACAAACAACAGGTTAGTCACAGGATGTTCTTATTCTTTGGATGCAGAAATCCTCCACTTGATTTGCAGACAGTGTGTGGTTTGTTTGCTTTTTTTATGGGAGGGACAACAGAGTTCAGTAAATATTCTCCAGGGATTAATGAAATTTTTCCAACTGTTTTTGGCAGGGCTCCCCTTCTTCCTGAATTTTTTTTTAATGAAATACAGAGCCAAGGACAAACTTTGTACTAGAGAAACTTGGTTTGACCACATTTTCCTTCCTCCATTTCAGAAATGATATTGCCAAGGTGAATATTTTCTATGAGCAATTAGATTACTACTCTTGGGATGAATCTCCGGAATATGATGTAAGTTGGGGGATTCCTCTCCTTTTATATATGTACTTTGTGCCAGGAAGAGAAAAAATATTTGAAGCAACTAACCATACTGTTAATATTTTAACTTGAGTTTAGGTGAACCTGGTGATGTCCAACATGGGAAGCCAATGGAGTCTCTGGTTTGGATCGTCTGTGCTGTCAGTGGTTGAGATGTTTGAATTCCTCGTGGATGTCATCATCTTATCCCTCATCTTCTTCTATCGGCGGCTTACGGCTAAGAGAACACACAAGGTGTCGCGTCCGCCTAGGATCCCAAGTGTGAGCTTGACTTTGGAGAAATACCGCTATATAGAAGAAGGCTTGGCCATGGACCAAGATTCAGAGAAATCTCAGGCCGGCCATACAAATGCATCCTTTGTCCATGATGAGGGACTCCCTCCATATTCCAAATATAACAAGTATCAGATGCCAGAACTATATCCACGTGTGGTGCTTCATGGATTTAAGCACCAAGGAGACCAAGTTACATACAGAGATCCCAAGAGTTAATGGAAGAGACTCGCAAAGCCCTTTTTAAAGGACAGTTTCTCTGCAGAGGGAATGGAGCCTATAAAGGAAGTTGTGAGTTCCAAACCTGGAAATATCAAAGCCAGAAAGATTGGACTCATGTGACTGGGCATACAACAGGAGGTGGAATTTGTGACTTTCCTCTTTCAGGTTTTCCAGATGGTTCTTCAGGCAGATCAGATGGTGCCAATACGTGAAAAGACAGGACTTTCACAATGAGCTAGGTCAAAACTCTATCCACTTCTTTTCCCATGGGCTGGGTCCAATTTAAGGGCAGTTGACTGTGCATGTTGATAAATTCCTGGACTGACTTGAAAATATTTATTCCTTCTGTTATTTTTGTTGCAATATTTGTCCTATGGATAATCAGTTTTATTTTGAGCTGATCTGTGGCCTCTTTTCATGCCCTATGTTGTCTTGAGAAGTCTACTTTTGTGACAGGGGCAGTGGGAGACTGCCTGGCGGTCATCCAGTTCCCTATAAAAAGGTCCGTCTTAGCTTTCATTTGAAGCTCTCCTGAGAGAACCAGATTCAGCTGGGCACCCTTGGATAAAATAAATTGGACCATCAACATTTCACAGATGTACCCAGGTTAAATGTTAAACCACTCACACATTTTAAAAAACGCCTCTAAGAAGACATTTACGAGGAAATGTTCTGTATTGTCTGCATTAACAGTGCCTCCGGGATCTTGGGAGGATGTGGTAACACTCAACCATGCTCTTCATTTAAGCAAAAGTACTTTTGTGTTTGAGCTGACCTATAAAATCCATGGCAGGGTGTTTTTGATGTCTAATTTCTCTTTTAAAATGTGAAGTTCAATGTTCCCTAGGTCAAACAGTGCAAAACAATAGTTATCACAGTGCAAGACAGCAGGCGTCAAAAGTTAACCTAGTCTTTTTCTGAAACCGAATATAGTCAAACCTCAGGCATGAAAGAAAAATAGCTGCATGCAACTATATTTCTGTGATTTGCTGGCAATAACAAGGCTTCAGATTGGTTGGATATTATTTCCTTCCTGGGACACTTTTCAGTTGTAACATTTGCCAGTTATGGCTAACATCAGCATTATTATTTTTAAATCAGACTAGAGGAAAATAAGAATTTCTGCAAGCAAACTGGGAGAGGTACAATGTTTGCAAATTCTCATTGCTCCAGCAGAGATAGCTTTGGCATGGCTGTTTTGGGACCTGGAATTAAGGAAGATTTTTCCCTGAGACAGAAAACAGAGAGTTGGGTGCTACTAAATTCTTTAAGAATCATCTCCATTGCTGGGGGCTAAAAAGCACTTATATTGGGGCAGTCCATTCTGTCAGTCCTGCTCATCGCATGTAGCTAGACAAAGCAACGGAATACCTGCTTGAGCCTTGACACATCTGACACGTATGTGGAGACATTCTGTGAAATTAACATTCCCCAAGTTCTGATTCTGAACATAGCCAAAATGGCCCCATCCATGGACAAGAGGGGGTCTCCAGAAGGCTCGGGGAGTCTCCGAGAATAAGAGGACAAAAAAAAAATTAAACGGTTGAGGTGGGGATACCTACCAAGAAGCCAAAGAACAAGGAATGACTATTGATGGGGAAAGGGGGACAGAAAACTGGGTGGAGGAGGAATGGAATAAGGCAATCCGCAAGGCAGCCTCGCTGGCATCGTGAGCAGAAGCACTCCACCTTGCTCTCATTTGCAGTGGCTAATGGCAGTTGAAACCCAACACATCTTCTCCAGTGATAGCAAGGAGCGTAAGACAACTTGTCCTAGCTCAAGCCAAGCACCTAGAGCATTCCAATGTCCTCTTCCAGCTGCAACCAACCCAAAGATTCTGGAAAGCCTATATCTGCAACTCCCCTGCTCCCCCTGGATCTCTGGCAGGCAGAGGTGTGCTAACCCCAGACACAGAGGCCCTGTCTCTGTTAAGCATTACTACCTCTCGTGCTTTGCCAGCAAGCGAGGAACAGATTTCTCCGAATCAGCCCAGGTAGCATTATTTCAGTGAGAAACTTGTCATAGTCACGGTTCTCTCTTTCTATCCTTTTGTTTTGATTTTGTTTCTCTAACCGCTGTGCTGATATTGAGAGCTGGATGTAATTGTAAACATGAATATCTGATTGTAAGTTATTTGGGATGTGTGTATGTATGAGTGGAAGGATTAAAAAAAAACTGAAGCTTTTTAGGTTTCCTGATGTAATGTAATAATTTATGTTCCCCATGTGTTGTTTGTTCCCCTTTGCCTCCTGATTTTGGAAAGTTGAAAACAAAGGCAGGAATCTGTCCTGATTATTTGATAGCCTTTCAGTATCCATCCGATATCATCCATCCATCCATCCATCCATCCATCCATCCATCCATCCATCCACATACACCGATGTGTATAGAACTGTTTTCATACTTACTTCTGTGTTTCTCTTGGTGTTTGCCTGACAAATATTGGTGGAAAATCTCTGGAAAAAGAGGGGACAGTACAATTCCCCCCCCCAAACACACACAATTACTGGGATAAAGCAGGAATGTGGTTGAGATATAATCCCAGGGGAGGTAACCCTTGGTTCCTGCCTCTTTAAAATATGAGAAAGGACTATAGCTGAATGGTAGAGCCATTCATCTTCAGCATCATCATTTGAAAGGATCTGAGTTACAGGAGCAGACTTGGAAAACGGTAGAGCCAGTTAAATCACCCCCCCTTTCTCTATTAATATGATATATAACTAATATATCACTCATGCCCTGGGCACTTCCTGGATGGACTACTGCAATATGGTCTACATGGGGCTGCCCTTGACAAGTATCTGGAAGCTTCAGCTGGTGCAAAATGCAGCAGCGTGGGCAGTTATGTGTGCCCCTAGAACGGCACATGTTACACCTCTGCTCCGTGAGCTGCATTGGTTGCCAGCTCAGGTCCAATTCAAGGTGCTGGTTTTGACCTTTAAAGCCCTTCATGGCATGGAGCTGGGTTATTCGAGGGACTGCCTCTTCTCAATTACCTCTGCATGTCCCATCAGGTCCAGCAGAAGAGGTGTGCTGTGGGTCCCATCTGCTAATTAGTTACGTCTAGACCCAAGAGACAAGCCTTTTCTGCTCTGGCGCCCGCCCTGTGGAACATCATCCCCCTCCTCGAGATGAAATTGGGCCCATCCTTGATGTGCTTTCCAAAGTCCCTTAAAACCCGGTTATGTCAACAGGCTTGGGGGGTCTCACAGAAATGGGAATTTAATGAGATGGCTACATTGTGTGTAACATCTAATGCTCTCCCTAGCCCTTTATTTTTTATATATATATATATTCATGTTTCATTCTAGAGTGCTTTTGTAATTACTGTTTTTTTAATGATTTTTTTAATACCATTTAATACTTTTTTAAAGTCAGGTATGCATTTCTATCCTGAAGAAGGGCTCATCTGCATAGCTCTCTAAACTTCCTGGCTTCATTGCCACACCCTCTGATGGACCACAAGGTTAGCTAAGCTAGCTTGGGTATTATCCACTTTGTTTGTTTAACAAACTTCTTTGCAGTGGCAAGAAAACCATCTGCTACCATCTTTCCAAATTAGCATGGCAGATTGCAGCCAAGCCTCTTAATCTTGGTCAAGCTTTCTGTTGCTTCTTGTTGTAGTTGGTAGTGCTTTAGTTCCAAACAATGGCGCCAATCCTGATAATTGATTGACAGCTCATTCAACCCCACAAGTAAGGATTGGTCTGACTGAAGACAAAGAGGTAAAGAAATATTCTCCAAAGCAAACTGGCAGGAAAGGGAAGAAATGTGGGTTTTTCCCAGATCATGTCATGCACCAATCACTGAATGGATATGCTTGGCAGCTGGCAAGTGCAGAGAGAGAAACTATAGCACAGATGGTATTTAAAAAATGGCATTCGTTGCACTTCTCAACAAAAATTTGGACAAGCAAACTTATTGTTGGGAATATAGAACCATGCAGGTTTGCAAGAGCTGCATTTTGAAAATGGGTATTAGGATTAAATCACATTTAAAGAAAGCATTCATAAAGGAAGTTGCATTTTAAAAAAACAGAAAGAGAAAATTGCATTAAAAAGGACAAAAACAGTATACAATCCAGAGAGACTAGAAACCAGAGGGAAAGGTGGATGAAAACTTTAAAACTATATCAAAACTATAGCTAACCTGACTACGTAAATATGATGAATATATAAATAAATAAAGAATACGTGTTAGGAACCATTCTGTAGAAAAATAGCCATGTTGGTTGTGCAAAGAAAGGGAGGCATTTATAGTAACAACTGTAGATCATTGTGTTGAATTTGTTTTTAACAATCTACCACAGGACTGATCTGTAGGTGCTTTGCTGGATCCTATAACATGACTCAGAGTACAATTCAATCCTCATGTTGGTCCTCTGTGCGTAACACCCTTCACCACAGGTGACAAAATCTCTGCTTCTTCCTTAGGTCAGGAAAGTACTTGAGATGTTTTGTTGCAATCAGCAGAGCTGCCAACAAAGATGCGATGGAGAGAGAGAAGCTGGCATAAGCCCACCTTCCTCACCCATGATGCTAGTAAGGAAAGAATTGTTTGCATAGATCCATAGAAGCACATAGGCCCTTCAGCATCCCAAGGTCTGCTTAACAACTTACCACTGATTCAAACTTGTAAACTTTTGTATGCCAGATGGGACAACTTTGAAATGCATGACTTCAGGGTCATCATCTTTACTACAGTGAATTATAGTTAAATTTCAGTCTACAGGAAGTAAAACCAGACTGAATGCTTGTCCTTGCCCCACCCATTGCTTCAGGGAATTTGACCCCCTCCCCTCTCCCCCAGCACACCAGTTGCAGCCCTTGTCCCAGAAATAGCCATGCACCTTTGATCTAAGGCCATTCTGGTGTGTGCCAGTTACCTCTTTCCCTCTCCTTCCTGGCTTGGCCGCCTGGCCAAAGCTGCTAGCTTCGTTGTCTGCAGAGAAGGAACAGAATTGTTTAGTCTACCTGTGGAAACAAAGACTTTCGTTCTCACAGGCACTGAAATGAAGTCCAGAATGTGTATAAAAGTATTTGAGAAACCAATAAAGTCACAATGTTTGACGTGCAAATAAGAGATAGCAGGACTCAAAGCAAAAGCTGGTCAAGTGTAATGGGGAAGATGACGTGTCAGTGGCCACTCTGGACTCAGACTGAAATTTTGGGTTCATGTAACAAAACTCTTCATATTCATCAACAAAAACATAAACTACAAAATCCTTCCCCCTAAGAGAAGGCTACTTTTTTGGAACTATAAAAAGTACCTACAAAGTGATCCACCTTTCCCCTAGTCTGATATCAGCCTACCTTGTAGAGTCGTTGTAGGAACGGTTGTCGTGTGATGAAACTCTATTTCCTCTTCCTTCAGTTGAAGTCCCACCCTAGCAGGAAAGAAAAGGAAAAAGAAAGCTGTTGTACCTGATGAAACTGCAGTTCAGGACAGGTCAACTTTCCACCCACATCCTGTGGGTCACAGGAGGAAATGCCATGGGTGCAAGCTACGTAGGGGAAAGGCCCAGAAATCACCAACAGAGAACAGACTGAATGGATGAGGGGAAAGGTTGTAGGCAATGGTTCTCCAGCATGAAAACATGAAGAACGGACAATATCAGGCTAATTAAACAGAGGATATGGCAAAATTGTTCAGCTTTTTTCTCTGGATTCAGAGATAGGCCTCCAAACTCAGCAGGGGAATTCTGACTCACGTCTGCCTTACCATCAGCCTCTGAGTCAAGTGCTAGCTTCACCCGCGTGCTCAGCTTTGGAACACTCCAACTAAAGAGTATGACTGCTCTGTAATACCATAACCCATGGGTCCTCAAACTGTGGGCTGGGACTCTCTGGAGGTTGCAGACAACTTAGAGAGGGGTATGGGGGAGTGTTGTTTTTAAAAATCCCTGATCAGGCTTGGCCAGGCAAAATGAAAGCATTCTTTGAGCTGCAGTCTGATTGGGGTATCAGAAAGCTTGACAACCTCTCATGATGCATAAACTGCCCAGAGTCATTGGGAATCGGGTGTTATATAAATTTTAATAATAATAATAACAATATTTTTAACACCATCAAACAATAACATCTGCCTATCCTAGGTCCTTGGAAAGGATAAAAATGCCAAATCCAGTCTAAACATCTGGCTGACTGTGCGACCATAATATTATTAATGGAAGTGGTAATAAAAATTAAAAAATTAAATTTGTTTCTTGCTCAGCCCTAAACCCTCTAAATTCATGGGGAGGTTCTCATATCATTTAGTAAATTACACAAAATACCTAGAATCAAAAAGTCAGAGACAAAAGATGTTTAGGGGGACACATTGTCTTTGCTTCTTGCCAGAAAATTTCCTAGAATTATCTGGGTGGCCACTGATTACTTAATTTATTTACTACATGTCTCTAAGAAGCTAAAGACAACATGCGTAGCAATTCCCCCATAACAAAAGCTCCATGACTGAAACAAGATCTCCCCAGCAAAACCCCTTACTACCGCCATATGTTTCTTAGAAACATATAGGTTGGGTCTTCCCAACATGTTGGGGTGGGATAGTTTCAATCCAATGTGTTGTGGAAACTCAGCCATTGTATGAACCATTACAATAACCCATAAAATCCTTTATTTGTTTGAGCATCACGTTATGTGAATACAGGAATTAATCTGGATCTAGAGTCGAGTGTGTCTGGTCTACCCATCCATTAAATTAGATCCCTGGCAAACTCACTTGCACTTAATTCAGTTAAACTATCTGTGACCAATTTATTTCATTGATTCCAACAGTATCTAAATTCAGCCAGCTTTGTCTGGAGGTAAACCAAGAGCTTGTCACTGTGCTCTGGGAGAATAATTTGAATGTCCCTCATATGTAAGAATCAAGAGATTTGGCTTTGCAAGCATCTTAGGTGAAGTCTTAATGTTCTTTTTTTCTTTTTCTTTTTGGTATACATAATACATACTTTTGTTCTGTTTTGGTCTGCGTAGGTTTATGAAAGTCATACATAGCCATTTATTACCCAATGCTGTAATTTACTGCTCCCTGTTCCAGAACCAAAGCTGGCCAAAAAGACAAGTCAGTTTCAGGCAAAGTCAGCAGAGAGATACATAGGTTTCCAGTGTTACAGAACGTCTCAGTTTCAGTAGAAGAGCATGTGTGGTGTAAGCTGGCTGCATTCCCAGGA